TGCCCCTGCGGCGGGCACGGCACGGCACGGCACGGCGCCGCGAGCAGGAACGCGGCCCGCGCACCCCGTCCCTCACGTGCCGCTTCGCTCTCAGACTATCAGTGCTGCACTTTGCTCTTAAATGTCAAAAGAAAATAAGTAATACCTGCAATTTATTCCAGTGGCATTTCAACAATACAAGATTTTCAGATTACACAGCCCAGCTCCGCTTTCCTTAAGCATTACACTGAATGTGGAGATTTGGTGGATTTACATAATGGGTTGGTAAAATGAATATTTATATAATGAATGCATTTACATAATGACTGCAAGTTAAACATGTACCATAAAGATTACAGGCCAATAATTTACGTACTATGTTAAAAATCATCTCTAAAGAGATTTTATTTTTATTCCTATTAAAGGTTCATTTATCTCTTGTTCACAAAAATGGAATCCAACCTTATCCAAGTGAAGGCTGCATTGATGCAAATCTTGATAATATTTTGGAATTAGTCTACAATGAATCATTTGTATTCAGAGATTTCAGCTTCTTATCTTTTAGTAGCAGCTTTGACAAACAATTTAAGAATATTCTAAATATAATTCTTTAATATAATTTAGTGTTATATTCTGGATGTGATGCTTGTATGTAAGCCTCATTAATACCACCGGGAATTATAGGAGAAAGCCGATAGGAAACATGAACTGCTGATGAACTTTATGTTTAGATAAAGGTAATTTGCAGCAGGAGGAATATAAACCCTGGCAGAAATCTCGCGTTTTCAACTGTCCTGCATTTTTGCTAACAAATCCAAGCTTCCTGCTTGCCAGAGAGAACTGTAACTGGTTTTGAGTGTCATTTACAGCTGTCTGCAAAGCAGAACAGGTAACGCTGCATTGCTACGGAACGGAGGAGCTCTCCTCCACCCGGCAGAGCAGCGGCCAGGCACTTGGTGAAACACTTGCTTCACATCTAGCTAAAAACCCACTCTTTGCCGCCATGGAATTTCCTCCCTACCCCACTGCCGGGCACTTCACACTGAACTCCCTGGCATTCTTTCCAAGTCCAAAGTTGCTTTCCTCAGGCCCTGCTCTGCACAGCGCGCTGCTCCCCGCACCACGGCCCGCAGGGTGAGCCGTGCCGCCCACGGAGCCCTTCCTTGGGGCCGCAGGGCTGGGAGCGGCCGTGCGAGCAGAGGGAGGGCCCGTCAGCCCCAACGAGGGGCTCCGGCCGTGCACGGCGCGGGACGCGGGTGCGGAGCCGCTGTCCCTGTGCCTTGAGCTTGCATTTGTCATATAAAATTCAACTTCTTCAATAAAACCATTTTAATAGATTATGCTGTATCATGCAAGGTTCAATGTGAAATTAAATTAGATTTATTGACTTTTTAAAAGCATTTCTTTCTGCTTCTAGAGACTCATTGGTGTTCCTGCGTGTTTCCCTGTTCTTGTCTTAATAGGAAGTGTTTACTACGAGTCAGACTTGTCACTATATTGCATCCAAATACTGCTGCCTATTCTAGGCGAGGCGCTTGGGGCCAAACTAAAATGATGCTAAAATGATGCTCGGGGTCTCCGATTCCGAGCGCCTGTTTCCCGCCAGCCTCCCGCTCCCTTGTGCGCGCGGGCCGGGCACGGCGGCGCTCACCGGATGGCGAGATGTGTCTCCAGGAGATGGAGGGCTCCGGCTTCCCGGCCGCCAGGCACACGAGCGTCACGTTGCTCCCTTCATTCACCACGAGGTCGTTGGAAATGCGGAATATCTTGGGCGAGACTGAAAGGAAACAGGGAGACAGCTGTAAGGGAAAGCCGCGGAGACAGACGCGCTTGCTCGAACGGGGCTGCGAAACGCGCAGAGAAAGGACCGTCTCTGCCCGGATGTGAGCAGAGCTGTCCCTGCTCACCAACGGCCCCGGCGCTCCGACGAGGAGGGAAGCGGCGCTTCCCTCCAGCTGGTGGTACTGCTCTTGATTGCAAATGCAAGCGGAATCTGCAAATTTGTGGTGTTATTTTCAACACTCGCAATTCAACAGCCTCACGTAAGGCTCCAATCCGGCCCTCGCCGGCGCGGCCGGGACGCCGGTACCGAGCGCCAGCCCCATCCTCACAGCACCCCGCCATAACACGAGTCCGGTGCTCAGCGGCTCCCGTGTTCGGCCCCCGAACACACATGGCTCCTGAACTGCTTTAATAAAGCTTTTAAAAATTCCTCGCCTACGTTACATGGAGCAACAGGCAGTGCTGCACACCTGCGGCCCACATGCTTCCAGCCCCCAGCTGGGAAAACCAGGAAAACCCGGAATATCCCCTCGTTCTTGTGCCGCTCCCAGTGTGGCTCCCGGCCGGGGCCCGGGGCCCTGCGCGTCCCTGCCCGGCGCTGACCCTCGCGCCGGCGGCGAAGGGAAACGCGGGTCTCTGCTCATCATCCATTTCCAACTCGTGCCAGTCAAGAGCACGAGGAAAGCCTCACAGAAAGGAGCGCTCTCCCAGGCTCTGATTAACCTCTTCTCTCTGCTCCTTTCCTATCATTAGTGGTACAACCATCATTTCTATAAACTAATTGAACATCCCCTCACTAGAAATTTATTATCATGCATTATCTGCTACCAGTGATCAATTTGTTTTGGACCAACCTGACTATCATTCTTAAAATACATTTGTGCCCTGCATTGCCAGAGAAATATGGTAATACTGAAGCGAAAGGAGAAATTGAATTCGAAACCCGTGGGCACCTAACCAGCCTCTCCAGCAGCCCTGTGAACCCTGCCCGGCGAGGCAGAGCGGGCTCTGCGCGCGCCGCGGAACGGGCTCGCTGCACCGAGAGCACCGCGGCGCGGGGCTGCACCCAGTGACCACGCAAAGGGACCCCGCTTCCCACCAAGACTGATGGGCAAAGGCTAACAGAGATCAAGGAAATGTTACTGACACTGCAGGATGGCAGCTGATTTTGACTTAGAGTAGGCAAACATTTACCTATGTAAATTCAGCAACTACCTCGATTAAATATATTTTCATGAATGTTTCAGTAAAATCTGGAAAGTTTAACAGAAAGTGCCCTAAAAGACCCGAGGTCGCCTTCTCCCACTGCCGTGTGCAGTGACACTGGGGCCGCTGTGCTATCCTTGTCCTGCCGTCGCTCGTGCTCCCCGCTTCCCGCTGCCGCGAGGAGGCTCCGCCGATCCCGCCAGGCTCCGGGGCTGCCCAAGGGAACCGCCAGCTTCCCTCTTCCAAGGAATGGGAGGATCCTCACCTCCCACCCACAGCTACTCGGCCATGCGGCCATTTCCCAGCAGTGGAGAGGCACTCGCTGCACAGGATCCTTCCTCCACTCCCGATGCCCCCAGTTTTCCCTGTTTTCCGTGACTCGTGCTGCTGACCCACTGAAAGGGAAGGCAGAGACCCGCGCTTGTTCCCTCTGCAGCCCCTTCATCACCCTGTGACATCCTTCCTTACTGTACTCAATATATCACCGGGAAAATACAGCAATAGAAAAGCTGTATGCTGTGCTTGAGAGGTATTTGCTATCAGCAGTCTGATGCTTTGCAGAGAAGGGAAATGCAGACAACAAAACTGCTGTTTCTGCTAATTGGCTTGCAAAACCCTGGTTTGAAGTCAGAGAAAGCTTCATGAAACGGAGTGCAGTATCATTCTAGCTTTCCTTCACGCCTTTCCATCTTTTCCCTCGGCATGGCTTCAGGAGCCGCACTCAGGCACTGCGGGTCCCACGTGCCCCCCTGCTTCCTGCCG